TTAGCAAGAACAGCAGGCTCGAATGGCACTCGTGAGAGAAATTTGAGATCTGAAAAAGCATACACAGTGGCCTCTGGCGGATTTGCAAAATCAGAAACTACAGAAATGTATAAAGGGCTACGTATTCAGAATATGCCTGGTTGGGTTTTAGTGATGTGCATCTGAATTGCCTGTTTCTCAAATCCTCTCTCCATAACGTTTAACTCTTATAAGCTATTAGTTACTAGGTAATTTAAAGCCCACATGGATTTCCGCAGATTTCCACAGATTTTTAGCCCAATAATGATTCTGTTTATTTACTTGTGTAAATGTGTGTACATTTGTATTTATGCAGTTTTTAAATTAATTTCAGTAATATTATTGACTAATATGAAAATGTTTATATAATTTATTTACAATACAGTTTGTACAGTAATATTTTCAGTCTTTTACTAGAAATAGTATATAGAAGACTTGCTTTGTTTACCAAATAAAGTGGATCTAATTGGATTTGCATTGTAAACATTAAATACAAGTTAAAATGGTCTGCCCCAAGTAATTTAGTTAAAGTTATAAAGTAAGTTAACTAATAACCTTAACTTTTCTGAATTTGATTGTAATGCAGTCATGTGCACCTTTTGTAAAGCTGCTTTAACTAGTTAAACTCTGCGGACCCGGTACCAGGTTCGTGACGTCATCGACTTTTGCTTTAAGATTTAAAAGGCTAGCATTACACCAGACCCCCGTAAATGGTTTCATTTGACAGTGTAGAATCTATATTTTATGCACATATGCATCACTTTGGTTTTTATTATACTGTCCAAAAGTTATTTACACTTAAATACACAGTATTTTGGATACCAGAGCTAGGTATTTTACATTGGTTCATTTTCATATGACACATGTACAAGTTATATTTCAAATGAAAGCTTTTGCCGGTGCTTATACAGTTCTAGCATTCTTTTTACTGAATTATATTCACACATCAAACAGTTGTCGACTGAATGGTGTTTCCATGGCGCAGAATTGAAAACAATACATTCATGATCAATAAGCAGCCCCAGATAGCACAGACAGCTGTCATCTCTTACCTTATGCTGTGTGCTTCAGGGCCATTCTCCTCTGTTTTTGAGGTGATGTGCATAAGTAATCCTTTTATATGTCCCATGTGGTCCAAACACAGTGAATTATGTTTGATCAAACAAAAGAATAGTGAAATATGAAAACAATGATCGGTCCCTGTGGCTTGTACAATACCTCTCATCAGTTGGAATACAATAACTTTTGCATAGATTATGGTAGAATTTTTTTTTTTTCTATGATAACAGACATGTGCAGGAACCACCAAAATTATTTACAGCACGCTCGACATCACAGAACCTAAAAGGTACACTTTCAAATTTGAAAAAATAAAAAATACAAAAAGTGCCTCTTTTTTTAGGTGTTTATTATAACACAGACGACATATACACTTATTTTAAACACTCTCAATAGTGTTTCATGAAAATTCAAAGGGTTTTCTTTAAAATGATACAACATTTTTGCATTTACACCTCTGCATGTGGATTTGGGAAGCTTTTAAATTTGGGTAGGCAAAATCCAGGCGGAAATCCCAAAATAGCAGCAGAGTTTAAGTGGTTTTAAAGCAATAATTGTTGTGAAAAGCATACAAATAAACTTGAATAAATTAAATTTCCGGTTAGCCTTTACAGTGACTGTATTGCCACCAAACTTTGAGCAAATCTGGCCAGCTGTATCTGTGTTACATAACAAGTGAAAAGAGGGGGGCCGACATGCACTTTCTCATGCAGTCGCGTCAGAGCTGCTAACACTGAGGTCATCAGTGGCCCGCAGGGACCTGCCACCACAATGACCTTCCATCTTTCTCCAAGCTTATAAGAGCCGAGCATCTTCTCAGTGGTGACAGTCAAAGGCCAATTAAAAATAGATCCGGTCAATGAGAAGGGAACCTGCGCCGACCGCAGAAAGAGGAGGAGTGGGAGTTGGAATGAAAGCTCACAAACATATAGACCCATAGCCAGCAGGAAATAATCAGGGTGATTTGATTACACTGCAATATTCATCTGCGTGTCACGCTCAGTGGGAGAGAACGTGCTGCAGGACTCCCGCTGTCTGGCCTCCCTGCATGTCCCGGACCACTGAAACGTCTGTTGAAGCATTGGTGAAACATGCGTTTAAAGTCAATGTTATTTTTTTTCTTTTGCAAATATTTCCCAAATTATGTTTAACAGAGCGAGGAATTTTTTCACAGTATTTACTATAATATTTTTTCTTCTGGGAAAAATCTTATTTGTTTTATTTCGGCAAGAATAAAAGCAGTTTTTTAAATTTTTTCACCTAGTTTACCCCTTTTTTAAGATTTAATATTAATACTATGGTTTTTCTGAGTTTGCCAGTTTAGGTTCAGTTCAAAACACAGTTCAGATTTTTTTTTTATTATAATGTGTTAAAAAGTGTTATTTTGGGGGCGTGTACACAGCTTCCTGTTTTAGGGGCGTGTTGCTTCGCATGAAAATTAGTTTTAACTTCCCGCCCAACGTAACAAGGGGGCGGAGCCAAGAGCTCCCCCGCTCTGTGTTTGGTAACAGACAGGCAGACAGAGAGAAGCAACACGAGTGAGAGGACCAGAATTCAGCCGTACATGTACGACTCGGACACAGACCAAGCAGAGAGTACATAATCATTTGTGTCTTTGTATAGTTTTACAGGCAACTGTGTGCTAGTTTAAAGTGCCGAGCTTGTACACCGAGACTAATACACACACTGGATTAACTTTGACTGAGGCACTGGATGCGCCGCTCAGAGCCGTGACACGGCACACCAGACATGCACATTAACGTTTTTAAAATTAAAACTATTTAGATGGCACTCTGTGGCGCGGCAGAAATATGAAGTGTCCTGAACAGCCTGATCTCATTAGAAAACGTAAGTATTTTACGTTTTGGCAGTTTAGCAGCTAATTCGTACAAATTCGTACGAGTTCAGTCGTAAGAAATTTTACGATTTTAAAAAGGAGGCGTGGCACCTAACCCCACCCCTAAACCCAACCGTCATTGGGAGATGAACAAATCGTACTAAAATGCACAAATTTGTATGAAATACCCACTAAATGAAAAAGTTATGAATTGCCGTGAGATTGTGTTGGTCCTGAATTGTGGCTGGGTGCCGCGGACAGCTGCCGACTTGAAGCACCGTTGTGTGTACCCTGTGTAAACTTGCATGCAGGTCACACACCAGAAGCAACGCCATCGTCGCGCCACGCATTTTAGAATTCTAAACATAGGTTTCTATCAGGGTATACACAACGGCGCTTCAAGTCGGCGGCTGTCCGAAGCACCGTTGTGTGTACCCTGATAGAAACCTATGTTTGGAATACTAAAATGCATGGCGCGATGCTAGTCATTTGAGGGCCACGCACGTAAGTCAACTCGCTCGCACTTTCCAGCTGCACCTAGTTAAGATCGCTTCTGTGAGCGCGAGAAATGCAAACGGCTGAAGTTTAAGGTAGACACAATGAAAAGAAGACATGTTTGCAAACCAACCTACAAACAAACTAAGTTACAAGCAATAATTCCGATTAGAGCGATCATGTGGTGAATGTTGATCTTGTGTTGAGCCCAATGAGCCTTACATCTAAAAATAGAGCAAGGGTGTTCCTATCACTTTGACTCACACGCTGAAAATGACAGACGTGGAACAACAAACTGAGGATATGGTGGCACAGACCTGTCAATCAATAATGGTGGGCGGGGGGACCACACTACTACGTCAAGTTGCGGTCGTTCTAAAAACCACTCCAATTGGTCCACCGTTTTTATGTTGTTAAATGAAAAAAAAAAGGGCTGGGACTAATTTCGGATTCGATGTGCAATAACCTTTTCTCTGGTACAACAACACTTTGTTTCTTATAGGCTAATCTCTGCTAAATAACTTTTTTTTGCATGCATGTGTGTGTGCTTTTTGTTTTGTTGTTTTTTTTATAAAGGAGGCTCTTCACCTTGAAAGAATTAGGTATACTCTGAACAATAAGATATTGTTACACAAAAAAAATGATTCAAAGAAGATTCCTTGCATTTATTTATTTATTTTTTAAGTTAAGTGGTTGTAAACCATTTATTTGGGCTGAATTTAAACATTAAGTTGAATGTTATTTAATTTATTTAGTTTAAATTCAACACATATACAATTTTGTAGATATCATTTTGGTACATTTTCTTTTCACACCTCACAGCAAGATGGTAGCTGGCTCGAGTCCCGGCTGGGCCAGTTGGCATTTCTGTGTGAAGTGTAAAGAATATTCTCCCCGGGTTAGTGTGGGTTTTCTCCGTGTGCTTCGGTTTCACCCAGTCCAAAGACATGCGCTATTAGTGAATTTAATTAACTAAATTGGCTGTTGTGTATGTGTGGGAATGAATGTGTAATGTGTATGCATGTTTCCCAGTATTGGGTTGCAGCTGGAAGGGCATCCGCTGTGTAAAGCATATGCTGGATATGTTGGCAGTTCATTCCACTGTGGTGGCCCCTGATAAATAAAGGGACTAAGCCAAAAAGAAAATGAATGAATGAATATTGAATGCTACACTAAATTCTGCTGTTATTCTGAAGAGACAATTGAACTCTCGTTCAGGATTTCTTTTTTCTTACCAACAGGAAAATGGGAAAAGATGACAGTATGGTAGCAAAACATGATTCATAAACTCCCTTCAAATCTAGCCAATAGAAACCACTGCGATTCTCTGAGATTTCATAAGTTGTCTGTTGAATTTGGAAGAGATAGTGTTGATTTCGTTATCTCTTCCGCCCAGCACTATGGAACAGTCTCCTATTTTAGTCACAGTGTTAGGGAAATTCTTTTGATATCTCCACTTTTAAATGTCAGTGATATTTTAAACAGCCTTTTCTGATCAGATGATTACACACTGCAGAGCACAGCAGAACAGATAAAAGATTCCTGCCATAAAATCATCGCTAAAGTTGTGTTGTTATATTTTTTTTTTAAGGTGAACAATACCCACCATTCAACTTTCAAAGATCCGGATCCTGGTTCACCATCTGAGTTTTTGCTAAAGCGTGTATCCGGGGTTTGCTTTGAGCCGTTGTTTACAGGTAATATCTGAATATTTAATTGTGTTTTGTCATCATTTACTCAACCTTTGCTTGTTTTAAACCAGGGGTGTCCAAAAACACCTGCAAGGATGTTTCTAGAAGGCCAAGCTGCGGTCGCACGTGTTTGATAATGCAAAATTCTTGTTTATGCGAAATAAACAAGATTATTAGGCTTTAAAAAAGCGAGCGATTGCTCCATGTTTAAAATTTCTGTCCAGAGAGGTCATGTTTGAGAGTCAAGTGATGCGATTTCGCAGGTCAAAGTTCACCAAGCTTGAACTTTGCACCGCAGCGACCTGCAAAACTTGGTGCATGACCCTGCATTTCCGGTCTGACGCATTCGCGTGCGTATAAATGGAAGTCTATGGGAAGAAAAACCCAGTGTGACCGCAGCTTAAGAGCTTGATTAGCTAGCCCAGGTGTGTCTTATTGGGGTTTGGGGCTAATTGAGCAGGACACCAGCCCTCAAAGACCGAGGCTGTTTCTCATTTCCAAGAAAGCAGAGAACGGACTTGTGTTCTTGTGGAAACCGGTCTTGCCAGGTGTCCTTGGAAGAACGAACTCAGTAGACTGCGAGGGCAGAGAACGCATCCTTTGAGAAATAGGATGCTGCGTTCTTCCTGATGGTCATGTGACCTTCACGCGTTTTAAATCGTAAATTATTCAAACATTACAGCATTCATAAAACGATTTATTGTTTCCCCCCTCTTCAAAATATATACTTTACATAAAAACATTATAAATATACTCTGCTCAATATAAATAAAACATATTTTAATACGAGTTTCAGCAAACAAACAACCCTTAATGTGTTTAGTCCTTTATTAGGATATTCATGTTAATGTTTACTTTCACCGTTTCATTTAGGGAAACTCCTGAGGTAAATAAGTGATATCTCTGAACTTTAAAAATAAATCTAAATAAAATGCTGCACTTCCCACCTCCAGTCGCAATGACTTCTGGGACTTCCAGAGCGACTTCCAGAGGTGCTCAAGTCTGCATCAGTGCGTCCTCGATTTCAAGATCACATCCGGGAAGTTTCACGCGTCCTTCGTACTTGCGGTCTTGAGTATTGGAACTGAACTTAGGCAGCTGATGATGACGTTACACGAGGACGCAAAACCGCTGAAGAACGCATATTGAGAAACAGCCCGAGTTTGGACATCCCTGGTTTAAACCTTTCTCTTTGTTAAACAAAAAACAAGACATTTTACAAGAAACCTAAAAGACCATTGACTTCCGTAGTAGCTGTTTTTCCTACTATGGAAGCCAATGGTCTTTGCTGCTGTCTAAGAAATATCTTCTTCAGTGTTCAACAGAAGAAAGAAACTCTTAAATGTTTGAAACCACTTGCATATTTTTTGATATGCTGTAATAAATTGTATTGTAAATGTGTGCACTTTTTTCTTGCTTACCATGTATACATAGACATTACATGAAATGTTAGGTCATGAATATTTACTTTGAAAGTTTTAGTAAAGTAATGGGAAAGTCCTGGAATTTTAAGTGTGTGTAAAAATGTGTATGTACCCTGTGATATTTTCCTTTTTACAAGGTGTCTGTTTAACAGCATTAGTTCCTCTCCATCAGGTCTTCCATCTGTGGGAGTGATTATTCCTCCGGGTCATTCTTCACTCTATACTCAGATCTCCCTGCCGGAACCGTCAGCTTGTGAAGAGCCCACGCCACACAACAGACAGGAGAATGTAGCTGGGTCAGTGTTTACATTCCTGTGTGTGTTTATATGTAAAATCCTCACTCAAAGATCATCCAGCGTGAGGTGAGACTGTGCAGGAACACCGGAGTTTATACTGTCACCCACCGTGGCCCCAATAAATTTCTTTGACTCCCAAGTGGTACTTGTAAACCCTTTCAGCATATGCCGAAAACCACAAGGACACATCCTTCGTTGTTATTGCTGGAAATGTCTCCTTTAACTATTATTTTGCTGCTGTCATAACACTCGTATTCCTTTAGGATCAGAATATCCCTGTTGTAGGAGATTTGATTTAAGCCCCGGTCAGAATTTATCATGATTTCATCACGATTTTCCTCGACGTAGTGTTGTAGGGATTCGTAAACGACATATGGGTGTCGTGACACAACATTCAATCGTTTCTTATCGTGTAATGTGGCACAGTTCACAACAACTGATTTTTTCTTGTTCTTTACTACGAGATCCGTCATGTGGGTGACACTGGACAAGAAGCAAATAATTTCTCGGTTATCTCAACGCGTGCTGTTGTTAATGCACTGGTCAGGCAATCAAAAAATAGGCTGCATATTTACTAATGGATGGGTCTCGGTTAATCATTGGTTATGCAAACGTTAAATACCTTTTTTTTTTTAGATTAGATTAGATATAACTTTATTGTCATTACACATGTACAAGTACAGTGCAACGAAATGCAGTAATTCTAAAATATTAAGGTGTTTTAAGCAATTTCATCTGACAGACTGGCACAAATGTGCCGACATCTCCATTCTCACGACGAGTTTCTAAGTTCTCTCATCCTTCCAACATCTTGTCACCTTAGAATTATAAGGTTCTATCTGACATTTTTGTCAAGATTGAGTTATTCACATATTCTTATTAAATGACAACCTATTTGTATGATGTTTTTTTTTATAAGTTGTTTACATTTTACTACTTTTTATTTAAACAACAAAAATAGGTTTTATCTACAAAGTCAAACTCTAGCTATATTTCTTTTTGGCTTAGTCCCTTTATTTATCTGGGGTTGCAACAGCGGAATGAGCCGCCAACTTATCCAGCATATGTTTTACGCAGCGGATGCCCTTCCAGCTGCAACCCATCACTGGGAAGCATCCATACACACTCATTCACACACATACATACACTATGGACAATTTGGCTTACCCAATTCACCTGTACCGGATGTCCTTGGACTGTGGGGGAAACCGGAGCACCCGGAGGAAACCCACACCAACACGGGGAGAACATGCAAACTCCACACAGAAATGCCAACTGACCCGGCTGAGGCTGTAACCAGCGACCTAATTGCTGTGAGGCGACAGCACTACCTACTGCGCAACCACGTTGCCTATATATATATATATATATATATATATATATATATATATATATATATATATATATATATATATATATATATATATATATAATACATATATTTATTGGTCTATCAGTGCATGCAATTAATTCTACATTTTTACATTTAATTTTTATTCCAAAAACACTATATGTAGGGATGCACCGAATTTTCAGCTTGCAGAAATTTTTAGACGAAAATAGCATTTACGTTTTTTGAGGAAAGTGAAATATAGCAGAAAATAAGAGTCTAATAAAAGGCACACTGCACACTGCTTTCACTCTTCACCCAGTCGTAGTCACTCCAGGGTCTGAATTGACTTTCATACCGGACCCAGAAGGCACTGCCTAAACCCATTCATTTCAATGGCTTGCAACACACAAGGGCATTTTGTTGCTACTGTGCTAAAATAGCCCCTCTCAAATGTAAAAAGTCTTATAAAATGACTTTATATTATTTGATAAAATAATAATTATTACAACCCATTTTCGGTTTTGTTTTATTGTTTTGTTCCTTTAGATGTTTTAATCCACAACACTTTGTCTAAAAAACAAACCATTATTATACAATGGCTTTCCTAATTGCAATAAATTGTCTAATTTACCTATTTAAGCCTTTAAATTGCACTTTAAGCTGAATATAAGTATTATGAAAAATATCCAATACAAAATATTTAGTACAATATTATGATAAAAGAAATCAGTTAATAGAAATGAGTTGCCAAAACTTTTATGTTTAGAGATGTATTTAAAGAAAAATCTTTCCGTTAAACAGAATTTGTGGAAAAAAAAATCAAGAGGGCTAATAATTCTGACTGTACATTCAGCTGATGGATCTGTTTTGTTTCTTGTTTTCCTCTAGGTCAGACCAGCCAACAAGCAATGACAGCTTCCTCTCCGAGTCAGGGGACACTGGAAGCACCTTAGCTGCAAACAAGGAAACGTGCACGAGTCTGAATAAAGGAGACGCTGGATGTCCAGGAACTGAGCTGCAAAACAGCAGACGTAAAACAGAGACTTCTGAGAGGTGCCAAAATTATAGCGGCAGGACAGAGGCCTTAAAACTTTTGAAGCAAGGAAAGCTTTCCAAGTTCGCAGACGACTGGGATAACCAAGGATTCAGTTCACCAAGGGAGGCCCTTGTAGAGGATTCTGGGATTTGTCAAGAGGAAAGACAGGAGTCGGATTGCTCTGGGAGGAGTCGAGAGGAATCTGAGCACAGAGGAAAGAGTCAAGCAAGGACAAAGAATAGTGAGGCTCAAGAGAAACACAAAACAAGTGATTCAGACACTTTAATACGTATCCAAGCCACTGGTCTTGCTGATAATCTAGAGGTGAGCTATATCCATTCTCCTACAGTTTTATGAATCATATAATTTTATCAGGTTCTCATTCTTTGCCTTTTAAAGAGCTGTGCACCTTAGATACAATGGGGAAAATAAGCATTAAACACGTCACCATTTTTCTCGGAAAACATATTTCTAAAGGTGCTGTTGACTTGAAAATTTCCCTGGATGTTGACAACAACCAGGAAAATCCATATACAGTATGTGAAGAAAACAAATCTAATTAGTTTACAAATGAAGTCATGTGTAAGATAATCAAATGACACAGAGAAAAAGTATCGAACACATGAAGAAAGGGAGGTGTAGAATGGAAGTGAAAGCCCAGACAGCAGCTGAAATCTTAGTTCTTCAGCAACTGTCTGCCCTTCGTCATTGTAAATGAATATTAGCTGCTTGTCCAACATCTACATTAGCAGGATGATGAAGATGAAAGCAGGGTGGACATTTCAGCAAGAGAATGATCCAAAACACAGCCAGCTCTCAAGTGCTTTCAGAGAAAGAAAATCAAGCTGTAGAATGGCCCAGCCAACACCTGATTGAATCCAATAGAAAATACAAAATGAAGATCAAATTTGATAGACGAGGCCCATCAAGTTTTGACACTGTTGAGGTCTGAAAAAGGTCTGAACTAATTAACTAGGACCTGAACACCACGTGATAATTACAGGCAGGTGTGTTTGATATGGGTTGCAACTGAAATCTGCAGGACGGTGGCTCTCCAGGAACAGGGTTGGCCACCCCTGCACTAGTAGGTGCATCTGGCCCATATCTATCAGCTGATAACCATTGATAATGCCCATTCAATCAAGTAATAACATTCGAAGCAGGTGAAATGGGACAACCCAGAATTTAATTTTTTTTTTAGGAAATTAATGAAGTCGAGATGAAGAGACTAATCTTAACAACTTTAAGCAGTTCTAAACACTGAATCTGAACTGAAGCAATACAGCTTATCTTCCTGAACACTATAAAACCATTCTGTAGTTACCAAAAACACCATAGTAGTTTACATAATAATAACCATAGAATTTTACTTTAAACTTCCAAACAACTGCCCTAGGTTGATCGCCATGCACAAGCAAAAGACATGTGACCTAACATTATGCAACCATTTTCCACATAGTTTGTTGTGCAAAACCCGCATTAAACACACTGAACCAGCTAACCAAGGTCATTGTGGAAAACTTCCTGCAGATGTCTTAGAGAAGATTAGAGCTCAACTGCAGATTAGCTACAAATTAACTACAAATTAACTGTTTATTAGTAGTTAGTAAGGTAGAAGTTGGGTTTAGGTTTTGGTTGGATTAAGGATGTAGAATAAGATCATACATTTTAGCTACCAATGAACAGTTACAAAGCAAAATCCTCTGAGTAAAATTTACTCAGTTCAAAGAGTATTTGTTCCCTATTTATAATAAGACGAACAAATTAGTAAAAAGTAAAGCTGCTGTTTGTGGAGTTGCTTATTAATCGAGTTGATTCTCTGCTGAGATTCAATGTATTACATTTCAGCTGATTTAATCTAAGGCTGTAACTTGAGTTAGTAGTAGTTTTCTGTTGCTCTTCCGTGTTTCTGCTTAATAAGAGTAGGTGTTCATCATCAGTCCTCAATCATCACCTAATTAATCCTTTCATTGTGTTATTAACTTAAGTAACATTAACTCAATTTAGAGAGGGTCCAAAAATCTAAATCTAAATTAAGTCAATTTTACTCAGAGGATTTTGCTGTGTAATACCTTTATAATAGGCAGGTCATAACCCAGTAGTAAATAGCATGAATTGTGACCTAAACTAAAGTGTGACCAGTAAGTTTTTGCAGATGGGACAACACTGAAATCTGCCAATAAAATATCTTAAATTGGCATACATAGCTTATTACTTTGGCTTCTCATTCAATAAACTACAATAAATGGAAGTAATACATTCCTTAATGCACATCAAAACATAATGTGGCTGACTCAATTATTTTAGAGGAGACTATTTCCAGCTGTCCAATATCTGATCCTAATATCTTAGCTCTGTTTTACCATGGTATTTCAGCGGTCTGAACACATTGGACAGCAAAGTCACTTGATTGTTTTCATCTGATATTAACGTGCTTGAATGCGTCTCTTGCGTAAGTCTGTGTGTGTGGTTTTCACAAGACTCCTTCCTCTTATTTTGTTACTCTGTACATCACTTTTGCAGGAGCACTCGGTGCGTCACGTAAGTACTATAGATTGTTACACTGCTTAGACTGGGTACAAAGATTCTTTAAATTGTACGAGATTTGCAAAATGTTAGAAACCACAAAGATGATGTCAAAAAAAGCTATTGTAATGTGTTTGTTTTGCTGTACACCACATGACAACATATATTTAAAAAACGTGAACACATCTCACAAAATCTCTCGAGATTTTAGAATAAACTTTGCCGATGAATAAACACATAAACATTTGGGCTGTTGTCACAAATCAACAAGCTGATCCTCCACCTCTTTTCCAAATCCATTTCACTTTGTGCTGCTCCAGGACTGTATTATGCTTTTATCTCCTGCTTTTTGATTGGACATAGTTTTGTTTTCTTGTTGTAATCGTCAACTCGTACAGTATTTTTATTTGTCCTCTGGGTCCCCAAACACATCAGGATTTATATACATTCAAAGCGCTTCACTTTTTCCATCTTTTTTTATGTTGCAGCCTTATTTCAAAACGGATTAAATTCATTTATTTATTTCCTCAAAATTCTACACACAATACCCTATAATGACAATGTGAAAAAAGATTTTTTGAAATTGTTGCAAATTTACTAAAAAATAAAAACCAAAACAATCACATCTACAGAAGTATTTACAGCCTTTGCCGTGAAGTTCTAAATTGATCTCAGGTACATTCTGTTTCCACTGACCATTCTTGAGATGTTTCAGCAGCTTAATTGGAGTTCATCTGTGGTAAATTCAGTTGATTACACATGATTTGAAAAGGCGTACACTTGTCTATATAAGGTCCCAGGGTTGACAGTGCATGCCAAAGCACAAACCAAGCATGAAGACAAAGGAATTGTCTATAGGCCTCCTAGACATGTTTGTTTGGAGGCACAAGGCTGGGGAAGGTTACAGAAAAATTTCTGCTGCTCTGAAAGTTCCAATGAGCACAGTGGCCTCCATCATCCGTAAGTGGAAGATGTTTGGAACCACCAGGACTCTTCCTAGAGCTGGCCGACCAACTAAGCTGAGTGATCGGGGGAGAAGAGCCTTAGTCAGGGAGGTTATCAATAACCCGATGGTCACTCTGTCTGAGCTCTAGCGTTCTTCTGTGGAGAGAGGAGAAACTTACAAAAGGACAACTGTCTGTGCAGCTTCTGTTCCAGAAGGAAGACACTCCCCTCCTGGAATGAAGGACCCTCAGACCATAAGAAACTAAACTCTCTGGTCTGATGAGACTAAAATTGAACTCTTTGGAATAAATGCCAGGCGTTACGTTAGGAAAAAACCAGGCGCCGCTCATCACCAGGCTAATACCATCCCTACAGTGAAGCATGGTGGTGGCAGCATCATGCTGTGGGGAGTTTTTCAGCAGCATTAACTGGAAGATAGTCAGGATAGAGGGAAAAATGAATGCAGCAATGTACAGAGACATCCTGAATGAAAACCTGATTCAGAGTGCTCTTGACCTCAGACTGGGGTGACGGTTCATCTTCCATCAGGACAATGACCCAAAGCACACTGCCAAAATATCAATAGAGTGGCTTCACAACAACTCAGTGAATGTTCTTGAGTGGCCCAGCCAGAGCCCAGACCTAAATCCTATTAATCATCTCTGGAGAGATCTGAAAATGGCTGTACACTGTTGCTTCCCATCCAATTTAATAGAGCTTGAGAGGTACTGCGAAGAGAAATGGCCAAATATTCTCAAAGACAGGTGTGCCAAACTTGTGGCATCATATTCAAAAAGACTTGAGGCTGCAATTGCTGCCAAAGGTGTATCAACAAAGTATTGAGCAAAGGCTGTGAATACTAATGTGCATGAGATTTTTCAGGTTTTTTATTTTTAATAAATTTGCAACAATAAAAAAAAATGTTTTTCACATTGTCATTATGGGGTATTGTGTGTAGAATTTCAAGGAAATAAATTAATTTAATCAGTTTTGTAATAAGGCTGTAACATAAAAAATCTGGAAAAAGTGAAGTGATATGAATACTTTCCAAATGCACTGTAAATTCACTAATAACAAGAAATATATTCTTAGAGTTTTGTTGCCTGAAATGTGCTTATATACTATATTACCAGCATCAGAGACTCTTTAAACATTGGTATGTAAAAATATGGGATATGCTCCCATGACAGGCGATGCAGTGGTGCAGTAGGTAGTGCTGTCGCCTCACAGCAAGAAGGTCGCTGGGTCGCTGGTTCTCAGTTAGCGTTTCTGTGTGGAGTTTGCATGTTCTCCCTGCCTTCGCGTGGGTTTCCTCCGGGTTCTCCAGTTTCCCCCACAGTCCAAAGACATTTGGTACAGGTAAATTGGGTAGGCTAAATTGTCCGTAGTGTATGAGTGTGTGTGTGAATGTGTGTGTGGATGTTTCCCAGAGATGGGTTGCGGCTGGAAGGGCATCCGCTATGTAAAAACTTGCTGGATAAGTTGGCGGTTCATTCCGCTGTGGCGACCCCGGATTAATAAAGGGACTAAGCCGACAAGAAAATGAATGAATGCTTCCATGATGCTACTTTCACTTTTAATTAAAAGATAAAAAATCTTGGAGAAGTAAGGGAAAATACTTAAATGGGTTAATAGCGGTATAGAATGGTAAAATACGGGAGAATCCCATCAAAAACGGGAGTATTAACAAGACTGGAAGGCCCTTTATTATTTATCTATTTAACATTGACTTGTGCTAGTGTTCTTTAAATGAAAAAAGCTATTATTGTGATAACGATAATTGTGCAACATATTGTGCAGCCCTAGCAACCACGATAGAAACTTACGCAAAGCAATCATAAAACCCTGGCAGC